GGTATATTGATAGCTGCGGTCCAAGAGACGAAGTTGCACAGCAATTCAACATTGTTGAATTGTGCCGGGTACAATGTGCACCGTCGAGATCGCGAGCGAGATAATGGTGGTGGCCTAGCGTTCATCACGCACCACACCGTGCAGTATCGTCCTATCGAATCAGACATCGACCGCAGGGATACCACCCTAGAATGTCAGGGCATTGCTATCCGGTAAGGCGATGTTGAGCTCGAAATATTTAATGTGTATATACCCCCTGTCACCTGCTGCCCGGCAGGATATCACCCTGACATAGGTGCGCTATTCAGAGGTGAAAACCGTATGGTAGTAAGTGACTTTAATGCGCACCACGATCTTAGGCACTCAAGCCTGTCAAACGATCGTAGGGGAACTGACTTGGCTGAGCAGATAGACGATTCGACATTCTGCACAATGAACGACGACGCACCCACCAGGATTATGGGCAGCTGCTGCAGCTCGCCAGACATAATAGTCAGCGCTGGTCTGATAAACAGCATATCATGGCGACCTATGCTGACTTTGGCATAAGATCATCTCGATCGATAAACCAACCGACTTTGCTTCCGCGGAACACCGAACCTATATCTACTTTTCTAAAGCTGATTGGAAAGGCTTCGCGGAATTTACGGAAAACACCTTCGCTGCTCTCCCCACACCAACCGACGTCCACCTTAGTGAACGTAAGTTCCGCAGTACTGTCACCGCTGCTGCAGCTCGCTTCGTACCTGCAGGATGTATTACGGACCCACGTCCAAATTTTCTTGCTGAAGCGGCTGCGTAATAGCCTTCGTCAGGCCGATCCCGGAGATCCCCGTATCAGGGATATCAACGCGCAGATTCGGCAACTAGTGAACGTACATAAGCGGAAGAAGTGGGAAGAGCATCTGAAGACCTGTAACTTCACCTCTGGTGTGAGTAAGCTTTGGTCAACCGTGAGGTCACTGTCCAATCCGACGAAGCACGACGACAGAGTCGAAATTTCTTTCGGCGACCATGCTTCGTCGGACCCGGAGCGATGCGCGAGCTATTTTAGCCGGCAGTTCATACTGCATCCTCCGGTGGACAAAGCCAAGCGTCGAGGGACCAGAAGGCTGCACAAACTGCCAACAACTTGTGCCCCCCTTGCTTTCACTTGCGGTGAAGTTCAGGTGGCCATCGGGAAGGCGAAAGCCTCCAAAGCCATGGGTCCCGACGGAATATGCATGCTGATGCTGAAAAATTTGGGTCCTGCGGGAGTAGCGTACCTAACGGAGGTCCTCAATCTGTCTATGGCCACTCTCATCATCCCAGACATCTGGAAGGTGGGGAGAGTGGTCCCACTGCTCAAACCGGGGAAACCTGCCAAAGGAGATTCGTATCGGCCGATAACACTCCTTTCCCCGGTAGCGAAGACACTCGAGGCCTTGCTGCTCACGTATTTCACGAACCACCTGACCCCAGCGAAGCATCAGCATGGTTTCCGTAAAGTGCACAGTACAGCAACAGCACTTAACGCCATAAATACTCTGATAACTCGTAGCCTTTACCGTAACCGTCACTGTGAGAAAACGATTCTAGTAGCGTTGGACTTGTCAAAGGCCATTCCACGCTACTAGAAAATATAGAGGCTTACTCTCTCCCACAGAGGCTCAAACGGTGGTCGGCAAATTATCTGAGTGGTCGACACTCGTCTGTAATGTTTAGAGACAAATCGAGTAAACTCAGAAAAATAAAACAGGGGGTTCCACAGGGTGGTGTCATTTCCCGGCTGCTGTTTAACTTTTACATTTCAAAGCTCCCTCAACCACCAGAGGGAGTCTCGATTGTCTCTTACGCCGACGACTGCTCGATCATGGCGACTGGGAATGGAATTGATGACCTGCGTTCGAAAGTAAACGGGTATCTCTCCGATCTTTCTCGCTTCTTCACTGCAAAATGTCTAGCCCTCTCCCCTACCAAATCCTCTGCGACCTTGTTCACAACCTGGACGAAGGAGGTCAGGCTACCGCTGGGAATTCACGTCGATGATACAGCAATTCCGACGGTGAATAACCCCAAAATACTCGGAGTAACATTCGACAGCCTGCTCTCCTTCTCTGCGCACGCAACCGCTATTGTCAATAAAGTACAGAGCCGCAACAAGGTCCTCAAAGTCGCTAGCCGGCAGTACCTGGGGCAAAGACACATAAACAAAGAAACGTTGCTGGCAACATACAAGGCAATATGCCGGCCGGTTTTAAACTACGGAGCACCAGTGTGGTCGCTGGGGCCTAGTAGGACGCAGTGGATGAAGCTACAGACAGTACAGCACACCGCACTCAGGACAGCGACTGGATGCCTCCTGATGTCGCAGGAACATCACCTTAACAACGAGGCACAAATGCTCCCAATCAAGGAGCACAACATAATGCTCTGCAAGCAGTTTCTGATCGGGAGCCACAGAAGTGGCCACCCGAACAGACAGCTGCCTGCAGAGGAGCCCTCGCCTAGGCACGTCAGGAGGCATCTATACGAACTGACGGACGAAGCCCAGAGGTTCATCAAGCAGCCTCTGGGCCCGTCAGCATACCGACTGGCCCGGAACGGCATTCACAGGGAGTCAGTCTCGAGTTATGTAAACTCTAGACCTGTGAATGCCGTTCTAGGCACACCACCACCGGACATAGACGAGACGGAGCTTCATCTGCCTCGGGAGACAAGAACCATAATAGCCCAACTTCGCTCTGGCTACTGCAGCACGTTAAACTCATACCTGAGTATACTGAATGCGAATGTGCCTAATGAGTGTCCGGCATGCGGAGAGACCCCTCATGACTCGAAACATCTCTTCGCATGCCCGGAAAACCCGACAACCCTAACGGCTTTGTCCCTGTGGACCGACCCAGTGGAGGCTGCACGCTTCCTAGGGCTGCCGTTAGTGGAACCTGACGACAACGACTGAGATATCAACCGATCTGGGCGGGGTTGTTGTAGCCGCTACAACAACAACAACAACAGAATTGTGGCGTGATCGCAGTGGGGCGGTGGCTTGTGCTCGAGTTACAAGCTTGCTTTGAAATGTAAAAGTTAAACAGTAGCGGGGAAAGGACACCACCCTGTGGAACCCCCTGTTTTATTTTTCTGAGTTTACTCGATTTGTCTCTTAACATTACCGACGAGTGTCGACCACTCAGATAATTTGCCGACCACCGTTTGAGCCTCTGCGTATGTAATATTCCAACATTTATTCTTCAAAGAATCTCATTCTAAATAAATGAACGTCCACATTCATATCCCAATATGTGGAAAAGCCATATGTATGGAGTATGTGGTATTTTTTGTAAATACTGTTTCCTGTTAATCTTTTGTGGATTTTTTAAAAGTACCAAAATTTTTGTTTGAAAAGTTTATAATTTCGTTTTTCTTCAATTATTTGTAATAATAAAAGTGTTAAACTGCATATATTTAAATAAAACTGAACTACAACATTGCCTGTTACAGTAAAGCACCTTTAATTCACTGCACATTCTAAAGAATGTACACGAAAAAAACTGGTCACAGTTAAAACGTTCTAAAACATAAATATATTAATGGAATTCAACGATATTTACATATATTTACATCTAAACTTAGTTTTATTGAAATTCGTTAAAAAAGAGTTAATTTTCTTTGTAATAAGCAAACGATCGCAATTTTGACTTTATGTCCTTCATTAGCCCTTGCACAGAAGTTTCAGTGATTTCCTTGGAAACCACCTGCCATTTATTTTTGAATTGTTGTGCGTTTTTTACAGCTTTGTGGGTCTTAAGAAGTTTGGATTTCATAACGGCCCAGTAGGTTTCGATCGGCCGATGCTCTGGACAATTAGGTGGATTCACCTCTTTTGCTACAAAATACACTTTGTTTCTATGTTACCATCCTAAAGCCATTTTTTTGCTTACCGTTGCGATTAGGTGCTGCATTCACTTTGTAAGAACGTAGTCCTGCTGTTTTGCATACTTTTTGTATATACGAAGACGACATGTTTAATTTTTTGCCGACATCTCTTACCGAAAGTCCAGGATTTTTCTTAAAAGCAGATAACACTTCCTTTGCCTTAATTTCGCAAGCAAATCCTTTTTTTCTGCCACTACCAGGGTTCCTTTTTAAAGATAAACATTCATTTTATTTTTTAAGCACATAAGTAACGGTAGACTTTGGAAATTTTAGCTTTTTTGCGATGTCGTTATGGAACATGCTGGGATTTTCCAGCTTTTTGCGCAATATTAACTCGCGATCGATTTCTTTCTTGGTCCTCGTTTCTACACTGATTTTTGTTACTAAAAAGAAATGATGCAGTAAGGTGGAAAATGCTTCCAGCTTTTTAAGTGTCTACCGATTTTTATTTTAATGTTATGATTAACCGAGCTATGCTTGGTTATGTGCGACCAGTTTTTTTCGTGTACATTCTTTATGTCAAATACATTTTGGAGTATATGTTGTATGCAGATATGCCATACCCTGCCACATACTCTTTGTAACATTTTGTTACCACACTCCCGCCGGGTTAAAAAGTTTTTTATTTTATTTCTTCTTTTGTTTATTTATTGTTTATATTTTTTCTATAAAAGTCTAGCATATTACATAACCGAACTTTGTACAAAAATTAAAATTCAACAAAATTTATCAATTACATATACCCAAAAATTGTAGACTGCATGGTTATCTGGTTATGTGGTGTTATTTTGAATTCAGTTTAGAAAAGCAAAATACGGTACCTACAGAAGAATAATTTTTAGCCAGATAACCCGATAACCAAACAGGTGTAAATCCCCTACCTGTATTATTCGACAACCACAGCAAAAATTTTGTGCAAAAACACTTCAGACAATGTAAGTTATGCACCGTAACAAATTGACAAGGGTATTAATTTATCTTTCAAGCTTTAATTTTTTATTTAGAAACCTTAAACTTTATGGGCTAAGCATCGTGTCCAGTTTAGTTGTTTGTCTGAATTAACGCTTTGTCTTTTTTACTTTAAGGTACAAAACTGAACTTTGTCGTCCATTTGAAGAAGCTGGTGAGTGCAAGTATGGAGAAAAGTGCCAGTTTGCCCATGGATATCATGAGTTACGAAACCTACAAAGACACCCAAAGTACAAAACTGAATATTGCCGCACATTCCACAGCGTTGGATTTTGTCCTTATGGTCCAAGATGTCATTTTGTTCACAACGCTGATGAAGCTAGAGCTCTACAACAAATGCAGCAGCAGCAACAACAACAACAACAACAACCAAAACTGCAAAATCATTCCAGTTTTCATAACTGCATCGCAAACTATCCATTGCAGTCTAAACATGGAAACAAAGCAGCTAATCCCAATCATTCGATTCCTTTGAGCCCTCCTCTGAGCATGTCAACCGGCTCAGATCGCGAATCACCAACAGGTTCACTATCCTTAAGTCCTACCAGCTCTATGACTAATTTTACATTTGGTGATCAAGTGAGTCCGGTGAATTCTGTTTTTCAAAGCACATTTCCTTACATTAGCACTCCACCTGAAAGCCCAAATGCCCCCATTTCACCAGTGAATACACCACCACCTAATGTCATATTGAATTCTATACAAAACCCGACATCGTTGTACGTAAAACCTGTTAGTATTCAGGGTAAGCAGGTACTTCAAAAGAGTTCAAGCTCTCCGATGGCTATAATCAGAAATATTAATAAAGTTCCAGCCAAAGTTAATTCTGTTTCATCACTTAATAGTGGTGAAGAAGCACGGCTGCCAGTTTTTAACAAATTGAGCTCAGCTGTTGAAAAGTTTCCTAACATAGCTTTATAATTTGACGAAATCTCACTTTGCATATTATTTAAAATTCTAGTTTTTTGTTATTTTACATTTTAAATTATATATACATCCTAAATTATTATAAAAAATATATATATTTTTACGATAATTTATATATTTTATATTAAATATCTCTTTATCCAGAAAATGGGTATATGTATATTTAAAAGGGAGTTAGTTCATAGGAAAGAGTTGGAGAGCGAAGGATTGGCAAAATATGCTTTTGCATTTATCAAATTATCTATATATAATATTTATTTTATATACATATGTATGTATATCATTTCATTTTTGTATACAGACTTATTCTATATGCCGCTAAAACAATTTCATATACAATTATTTATATTTTATACACAATGGAGATGTATGTTATTAAAATTAGGTGCAGTTATGAAAATTATAATTGAAATAATGAAGTCAATGTGAGTTCAGAAATTAATATTTTGTAGTATTAAAATTTGAAAAAAATTTACCCGGAAACTTTACTAACGTAACTACCTGTATAAAGTAAATTAATGCCTACTTTTACCTTTTACACAATAATACAAATAATGTGTTAATGAAGTAAAACATATTTATTCCAAAACGTTACAAAAAACTCGAAGATGGTCAACACTGATGAAAATTCTCAAAGTGCCTTACAGTTAATTAAATATATAATATAAATATATATTTAATATGTAGATATTTTAGTATTTATATATTTTTTATTTAATTGGTTAAGAGATGATTCATGAATTAGTCGTCTTCCTTTTTTACTTTCGTTAAAAAATGCTTCCATTTATTTTTACATGTGCTTATACAAATTTTGAATAAAAAAATTACTTTTTCTTAATAAAATCTTTCTAAATGTTTATCTTATTGGAAGATCTTAAAATTATATATAATAAACGGCGAAACTTTTATTGTCTGCAAAATGCGTTATAATACGGGTTTTTTCGGTAAGTATATTAGTTTAATGTTTTTAACCCCCCACCGCATACGAAGCCAAGTATGGTGTCAGTACTTTGGCAATTTTTTCCCAACTAACTAGTATTATAAAAAAGTCTAAATTTAATTAATAACTAGGAATAACGGAGCTTAATAAGTTTGCCTATGGTTAGATAATACGCCACGTACGCGCATGGGTGTTGGTAACATTCTTTCCTGCTCATATTTCACCATGCACAACTTTATTTATCCATCGTTTTTCTTCGTCAGTGGCTGGATTTGTGTGTAAAAGAACAGCCTTTATCGCAAATGAAAAAATGAAAAAAAAAATCTGCATTTTTAAATGTTTCCCTGTTAAAGTTTTAGTTATTTCATTCACAATGCAAACATAAAATTGAAATATTTTCGGAAAATAACCTGATCTAGAAAAACGGTATACAGATCCGTAATCTACGATCCAAAAGTAAGTTAACGTGTCTCGACGTTTCTTTTTTTGCTGTTCAAGTCTGAAGAGGCCATTGATTTATGGCAAATTTTTTCGTTGAAGGTGGACCTCATACTAATAATAAAAACCTTCCTTGGTCGTTGAAGAAGTTTGAATAGACTGGACAGAATTTAAAATTAGATGTTTCCAGTGGCGTTAGTGCATTAGTACGTGACCAGATTTCTGAAGCCAAAAAGCGGGACATTTCTAAAGCATCGAATCCTAACATACAATTTTGATTTTAGAATAAAAAGACACATCATCTTTCAATATAGTTTTATTTAAAACAAAACAGAAAAAAAAACTTGAAAAATGATCGCAAAAAATGTATACATAAAATATATACGGTGGCGAGAATGTAAATAGGGAAGATACATTTTTGCAAGTTTTGGCTACTTTTTTTGTTTAAGAAATGTACATAATTTTTTTTATGAAAATATCGCTCACTATCTAAAAAAAAAACAAGTAAATCAAAGTTTCAAACTTTGTAGATATATATATGAGGCATTCTTTTTCATATCGGACACTAAATTTGGTGTCACACTTTTGATTCGCTTAAAATTTTTTTATGAGTTCTATAAATAAAATAAGCTAACACGTATTCCAGGAATTTTTTTCTTCGGAGATATGATATTTTCGTGATTCTGACTAATCATGTACTTCTTCAAATCGTTATATCTCGGGTTCCGCTCATCGTAGAGACGTCGTTTTATAGCTTAAAAAACGGACTTAACATGTCTATATACAAGATGGTCATAATTGTGCTAAAGCTAACTTAGCTATTAACAGTTGGGCTTTTTGAAGTTGATTTGCACAGTGAAGGCCAGTAAATTTGGGATTTAAAGTAACACCATCAAAATAGGCGTTTTTCAAGAACTATTTAAAAATTTTTTTTTTTATGACGAGATGGTTTATTTAGTCGCCGTTGATTTCGTTGGGGAGAGTGTTAAGCTCCTTGCAGTGAAGAAGCGAGAAAACCTGGAGAATTCTTGAGCAGAGGTCATCAATGTCATTCCCAACCGCCAATATCGAGCAGTCGTCAGCGTATGAGATCAGGGCTGGGGAGTTTCGATATGTAGAAGTTGATCAGTAAGGGGAAAGGACAGGACACCGCCTTGTGGAACCCCCTGTTTTATTCTTCTAGGTTTCGAGGTTTGATCTCGGAAAATTACTGGCGACGGTCGACCACTAATATAATTCGCCGACCACCGTTTAAGTCCCTGTGGGAGAGAGGAGGCCTCAATGTTTCCCATTAGCGTGAAATGTCAGACGGTGTCAAACGCCTTTGACAAGTCCAACGCTAGGACTGTTCTCTCACAGGGGCGGTTGCGGTTTAGGCCACGAGTTATTTGGGTGTTTATGACGTTAAGTGCTGTTGTTGAGCTGTGCACTTTACGGAAACCATGCTGATGCTTCGCTGGGGTCAGGTGGTAGGTGAAGTAAGGGAGCAGCAGGGCCTCTAGTGTATTCGCGACGGGGAAAGGAGCGTTATCGGTCGATACGAGTCTCCTTTGTTTGTGGGATTCCCGGTTTCAGCAGTGGGACCACTCTCCCTGATTTTCACACATCAGGAATGATGAGAGTGACCATTCACAGGTTAAGAACCTCCGTTAGGTATGCTACTCCCGCGGGCCCCAAATGTTTCAGCATCAGCATACAGATTCCGTCGGGTCGAATGGCTTTCGCCTTCCCGATGGCCCCCTTCACTTCGCCGCCGGTGAAAACATGTGGTTTTTGGCAGTTTGTGAAGCCTCCTGGTCACTCGACGTTTGACCTTATCTACCGAAGGATGCAGCGAGGTGCGACCATCGAATGAAATTCCCTCCCTGTCGTCGCGTTTCGGCTGGTTGGACAAGGACCTCACGGTTGACCAGAGCTTACTCACCAGAGGCGAAGTTACAGGATTTCAAGTGCTCTTCCCAGTTTTTCCGCTTGTGCTGATTAACCAGTTGCCGAATCTCCAAATTAAGGACCTTCAGGCGAGGATCCCCGGGATCGACCTGGCGTCGGTGGTCACGCTAATTTGTTAGTACAGCTGCTTCCTCCGGGAAATTTGGGCGGACTTCCGCGATGCGTCTGAATGGTATGAAGCGAGCCGCTGCGACAGTGACTACCCTGCGGAACTGGCGTTCGCCAGAATGCATGTATATCATAGCTTTGTTAAAGTTGGTATAAGATCGGTGGTCCGCGGGTGCAGAGTCGGTGGGCTTATTGATCGAGATGATTATGGGCGGATGGTCTGAAGCCAGCGTTAGCAAAGGTCGCCATGATATGCTATTTATCAGACCAGCGCTAGAAGTTGTTATGTCTGGCGAGCTGCTGCAGCTGCCCACAATCCTGATGGGGGCATCGCACAGTTGCCATTGAGCCACAATCACTCCTTTATCTTAAAAAAAATGGACAAAAATAGTGTTCTTCGGAAAAAACATGCAAAATCCACTGAATTTATTCTAAAAAAATTTTGTATTTTTATTGTACTAATATTTTAGATTTTTCGACGAGAAACGCGATTCCACTGTTTAAAAAAATGAAAAAAAAGTGTTAACCCCCCAATTTGAAAAATGCATTATATATTGAATTTTTTATGATTTGCTTGCAGCTATGCATCCTTCACACAATTTTATATCCCTCGCTCACATGTGCGTTTTAGTGCTATTCAAGATCTTTAATTTGAGCCCAGTCTAGGCCCTTGGAGAGCCAAATTATAACTATTGTGAAGTTAAACTTCGAAATTTCATCGACATTTTACGCAAATTTTTATATCCGAGCGCACTTGTGCACAAGGGTACATTAACTTTGTTCGCATAACGGTTGTTTATAACAGCCAAAACGAATCGAGATAGATATGGACAAATGTATACATAAATGATCAGAATGAAAAGAGAAGTCGATTAAGCCATGTCTGTCTGTCCGTCCGTCCGTCTGTCCGTGTACACGATAACTCGAGCAAAAATTGAGATATCTCAATTGTAGGTTGCCCTTTATCCAAGGTAGATTGGTATGGAAAATGGGCGAAACGTAACCACGCCCACTTCCCATATAACGGTATTTTCGAAAAATGCAAATACTGCGATATTTCAGTAAATATTGGATGCAAATTGTTGAAAATTAGTATGCAGAGTAGAATTGTGGTAAAAAATAATATTGTTATGAAATTTTTGGAAAATGGGCGTGACCCCGCCCACTTATGATGAAATGCTGTATCTCAGTAGCCGCTTCACCAATCCTTAGCAAACCCGGTACGCGCCTCTGTTGAAAATCTTTGAAATCGGGCAATAACCACAACCACCTGCCATATAACGGGAATTTACAGAAACACGAAAACTGCGATAAATCAGTAACTACTGCAGCTAATTGACTCAAAATCGATTATTGCAATGACCACAGCAAAAAATTAGACTAGTATAAATTTTTGTAACTATAATGGACGTGGCGCCGCCCACTTATGACTACAAATGTGTATCTCGGTAACCGATTTATCAATTTCCACCAAACTCGGTGCACTTAATAACCTTGGAACGGAAAAGCAATTTGTTGAAAATTATTCAAATCGGACTAAAATTACACCCACTTCGCGTATAACGGTAAATTTCAGAAATACGAAAACTGATATTTCAATAACTGAGGACGCTAATTTACTTCAAGTTAATAGTTACAACAATCTCCTCGGTAACCGCTTAATCGATTTGTACCTAACTAGGTTCAATTATATCATTAAGTCTAACTCTGCATATTATCGATAACGTTTGAAAGCGGGTAAAGACACCCTACTTATCATGCAAAGGTAGTTAAGAGAAAGTTGAAACGACGATATTTGATACCTGCGCCGGGTATAAAGATGCTGGGTTTCGCCCGAACTTATACTTCTTTACTTGTTTTTTCTGATTTCGGACTAAAAACTAGTACAGCAGTTTCGAAGTTTTGTTTAAAATTATTATAACTTGGCTCTCAGAGGCCAGTTGAGTTTTTGTGCAAGTTCGTTTCTTAAACCGCAGCTATCAATCTGCCATGCCGACTGCTATCTTCAATCTTGCCCTGGAGTCCGT